ATTTATTTAACAAAAAGAAAAATTATTTATTTAAAAGAGCCAGAAGACACATAATAAGTGTATTTTATAAAACCAAATAAATCGTTAATGAGTCGTTAAAATGTTATGTACAATTAATTTTTTTTTTTTTTATTAATTAATAAATGATAGAAATAATAACTTGAGTTACATAAAAGAAAAGAAAATTATTTTTTATTTTATTATTATCATAAACATCATCATCATCATCATTTATTATTATTATTATTATTAAGAATAAAAAAAGATGATATAATAAAAATTTAGTCTATGTTTATGCCTGAACAAAAGTAGGTATGAAAATGAGTGCTTTAAAAAAAAAAAAAATTTTTTTTAATATTTTTTTTCCATAGTTTTAAATAATTTTTCTCTTCTAATGATTGATTTTTACCCTTTTTTTACACTTTTTCGAATGAATAATATAAAAGGGAGAGAAAGAGAGAGAGAGAGAAAAAAAAAGAAGGGTAGGAAAGGAAGGAAAGGAAAGGAAAGGAAAGGAAAAAAAAAAAAAAGATTTCATAAAATGAAATTTGTGAAAGCACGCCATCGTTCATGAGAAAATTTTTTTTTTTCTACGCAATGTATTGATTTGATTTATAAAAGAAAAAAAAAAAAAAAAAAAAAGAGAAAAGAAAGAAAGAAAGAAATTTAAATTACAATTGTAGTTTTAAAATTTTACTTTGTAAATAAATAAATAAATAAAATTATAATAATAATAATAATAAATAAAATGAAATTAAGAGAAATTAATTAATTTTTTTTTCAATACAACTTACTTATAAAATTCAGGTGGCTCTTATTATTATTATCACGAAGAGTTTATATATATTCATAAATAAATATTTTTCTCGCGGTTACAAAAAAAAAAGTTATTATTATTATTATATGATTGATTGCCATTTTTTAGGTTTCCATTATATATATACATATACATGTTACAGGAAAAATTATTATTATTATTATTTGAGGAGGATTCATTTTATAATTTTTATAATTGATTTTTTTTTCTTTTTTTTCATATTATTTCATATTATTTCATATTATTATTATTATTATTATTATTTATTTTATTGTAAAATTTTGAATTTTTTCCAATTTGAAAATTATACATGAATATTTTTTCGGGCAAAGAATGTTTTGTACGTACAAGTAAATTTCCCCCCCCCTCCAAAGGAATTACTTGTTCCCCCCTTATTTTTTCTATTGATAGTTAATTAATTTATATGATAGTTAATTTTTATTTTGTAATAATAATATTACAATAATATATGTATGTAAAATAAAAAAAAATAAAATATTTGTGGCGCGCAAATGAATCAGGATTATTATGCTACTCTCTCTCTCTCTCTCTCTCTCTCTATCTACCTGTAACATGTATATATATAAACGTATATATATATATATATATTTACGTTGAATATTTGTTATACGAACGAATAAAAAAATAAACTGAATCAACCCCTTTTTATCCTTCTCTTAAAAAAAAAAAAAAAAATTTGTGGTTATTCATCCGATATATTAATTAATTATTTTTCATATATATATATATTGTATATGGAAATTGATAACTCTTATCAAAACATTCCTAGATTTTTAATAAAAATGGGGACTCCTTCGCGACTCTTTCGTACTCAAAAAAAAAAAAATTAATTATATTTGTTGTTGGTCCCAAAAGACGAGATCTCATTTATGTAATTAAAATTATTATCCAAATTGATTGATTGATTGATTATTATTATTATTATTATTATTATTATTATTATTATTATTATTATTATTATTATTATTATTATTATTTTGTCGCGTGTAATTAAAATAAATAAATATTCTTCGTTTGTTCTTTTATTTTTATTATTATTATTTTTTTTCATGTGGCATGAATCAAATGATTGATTGAAAATTAATATAAATGCGCGCGTTTGTGTGTGTGTGTGTGTGTGCGTGTGCGCGGGTATGATTCAATAATTATCCTAGTATTAGTGTTTTTATTAAAAAGGTAACACAAAAAAAAAAAAAACGTTCGTAGTAGTAATACTTGGTCGGTTAACTTATGGAATTATTAAGGGTTAATTTATGTGTGCAGTACTTTTTCTATCTATTTATCATTATTATTATTATTTAGAATCATTATTTGATTGAAATAATTTAATTAATTAAAAAATTATTCGATTGTTTTTTTTTTTATTAAAAGGAGGGGAAAAAAAATGTAAAATGAATGATGATGATGATGATGCAATCATATCGTGTGGGTCAATTTCGAATTTATTCTAATGTCTCCATCTTATTAAGGCCCTTTTTTGATTTCTAAAATTTAATAATATTGATATTGAAAATTTATATCCGTTTTAATATGTGTTATTGAAATTCTCGAGTTCGAAACCGGATTCACGACTTTCCGTTTCCGCTTCTGTTCTTTTTTTTTCTTTTCATTTATTTTAATAATCTATAAAATTATCAACTATCCATAGAATTATAATAATTAACAAGACGTAGAAATTTAAAACTTTGAATTTAAATCCAAGAAAACCTTTTAAACCTTTGAAAAAATTATTAACTGGAGAGCGGGGAGAAAAATTTTGTGATAGATTGTCACGGTTAGTTTATATATATATATTTGTTCAATGTTATTATTATTATTATTTTACACTCTGCTTACTTCTTCGGTTGATGACATGACCACATTGATTTTAAGGTTTTCACTCGGTTTCCATTTAGGTAGAAAAATATTTATTTATTTTTTTTTTCCCCTTGGATTCTGATTTCCCCTCTGAGGGGAGGGGTTTCCTTCTTCTTCTTCTTCTTTTTACTGCTTTTATCATCATCATCATCTCATATATAATAAACCGTCGTAATAAAATTAATAATTATTTAACAATTACAATTTAGCATTTATGATGTAGGAAAAAATAAAAAATTTATTTTTTATCTGTTACAAGAATGAATCGCATGATTTTATTTATTTATTTATTTTTTTTTTGTCGTAGTCGATGATTGATTGCTTTGTTTTGAGTAAAAGAAGCTCTTGTTTGTTTGTTTGTTTGTTTTTTTTATTTCATATCATTATTAATACTTTTACTTGCTCTAATTATTTTTTTTACACTATTATACATAAAATTATTTTCTTTATATTCTCATAATTTTTTATGACGATATCATTCGAAAAAAAAATAAAAATTTTTTTATAAAACTTGTGATTGTTAAAAAAAAAAAAAAAACACGCACATGTAAGTGTGCGTGCGTGCGTTTTTATTTTGGTTTATTTTAATAATTAGGTTTCATTTGTGAGCTTAAATACTTGAATAGAAAAAAAAAAAAAAAAAAAAAAAAAACAAATTTCGGATTTTTATTTTGGTTCGTTTTAATAAAGGTGCGAAGAATCCTTTTGTTGAAAATTTCATGTAAAAAAAATAATTTTGGTTAAGGCAAAAAATTTCTTTTTTTTTTATTTCAATCGAGGTCTTATCATTATTTACTTGATAACAAAAAAGAGAGAGAGAGAGAGAGAGAGAGAGAAAAGCAAAAAAGTAACTCGTTATTATTTCTTGATAGGATGTTTCAGATCTTGATTTGGATTACAAGCTTGAATCATCCTGTGAACTGGCACCGGATCGTCCCTTCGACGATGCGAGGTCTCCGACACCATTCCAATTACCGTTCCCGCCTTTTGGATTGTTTCCCCATGTCGGAGAAGATTTTTTAAAAAGGAATTATTCTTTGGTAGGGTTTTTGCAACGTCAAGGTCTCATACGATCTCCGGCACCGGAAGAAAATCAAAATATCGGAATCCTATCTAATCCTTATCGTTGCATTATTTGTTTGGCCTCTTTTCCGTCTGCTTGGCTATTAGAACAACACAATAACATTCAACATCCGTCGAATCAAAGAAATTCCGAATCGGGAAGTCCCGGAGAAGATAAACCCTTTAAATGCGAACAATGCGGACAAAATTATCGCTATCGGTCGGCTTATCTCAAACATCAAGAACAAAATCACAAGGCTAGACTTCCGGCGGACAAAGTTTTCACCTGTGACGTTTGCGGAATGCAATTCCGATACTTAAAGTCTTTCAAAAAACACAGACTGAATCACACGTTGGAAAAACTTCATTCGAAATCATCCAACGGTAATGCTTTTTCGCGAATTATGAAAAGCAACGGCGTCGAAACGGAAAAACGTTTTAAAATAATTCCCGAACCCGCGACCGGATCCGGTTCGAGAACGTCTTCCTTGTTTCGTTCGAACTCTGTCGATGACGACGATGATGACGACGACGACAACGTCGACGACATCGTCGACGACGAGGGCAACAACGAAAAACGAACAATAAAAGACAGCGGAAGGATCACGGCTCCTCCTCGAACGGATTACGGAGACAACGATGATCGAGTCGCAAAATCGAACGTTTTTACCGATCCTAAAAAGGAGAGAGCTGCCAGCGTTCCGGTCGATAAATCGGATCAAATTAACGGAACCCGTTCGATTGTACGCTCGATGAAAAATCCGGCATCGAAAACGAATCGGGGATCAAATGATTTGGATGATCGAGATGAAACGATAATCGATTCCTTGGAATGCGTTTTTCCAGGGCGCGGAGTACCGAATAAAATTCAAAGCGACTCTTCGGCATTCGTTAATTTGTTTCACGGGGATCCAATGGAAAGGCAAAAGGAGAACAACAATAAATTTTCGTGTCCTTTTTGCGGTAAATGCGTGAGATCGAAGGAAAATTTAAAACTTCACATAAGGAAACACACGGGAGAACGTCCTTTCGTGTGTCTTTTTTGCGGGAGAGCATTCGGAGGTAAAAGTGATTTGACCCGTCATTTGAGGATCCACACTGGAGAGAGGCCTTACCATTGTGAAATGTGTGGAAAATGCTTTGCCCGCGCTGATTATTTATCCAAACATTTGACCACCCACAATTCTCCTCGTTCTTCTTCTTTTTCTCATATGAATTCTCGTTAAAATTTTAATTCCCCTTAATGTGATTTTTTAATCATCTTTTTCCTCTCTCTGTCGTAGTTAATTGTTGTTGCCTTTTATTTATTTATTTTAAATATTCTTGTTTGCGAAAAAAAACCAAAAAAAGTAAAAAAAAAATGTTTATTTTGCCGAAAATGATAGTAATAATAATAATAATAATTAAATAAAAAAAAAAAAACTTACTTTTGTCATTAATACTCGATGAATAATTTAAAAAAAAAAAAGTTGTTTCATTCGTTTTTCAATCAATCAATCAATCAATCAATCGTTACTATAATTTTTTTTTTTAATCGTCTTAAACATGAATTACGAAAACGTAAATGTAATAATAATAATAATAATAAATTTCAGATTTTTTATTCGGGAGAGTTGGCCGTCATTTTATAATGATAATGATAACATAAAAAAAAAAAACCGTTTAAAATAAAAATTTATAGTAAATATGAAATGAGGAATAAATGAACGAACCAATCAACACACGTCATTCAATATTGTTTTCTATTAAAAATTTAATAACTCCTTCGTTCTTATTAATAATAATAAAACATATAGAAAATAGAAAAAATTCGGTTTTCGTATGGGGAAACGTTAAAATCACAACGGAAAAAAATGACAAAACACACTTACTACAACAGCCTAACCTTCCTGACATTATTATTATTATTATTATTATTATTACAAATAATTAAAGTGTTTTAATCGTTTATTACACATTTTTTTTTTGGAGAAGAAAGACAATAGTTGTTGGTTATTGTTAATTCCCCCCCCCTCTCTCTCTCTCTCTCTCTCTCTCACTTTTATTATTTAAATCCTAATTGAAAAGTTAATTTTTTATTTTGATTATTTATTTATTTATTGATCTCTTTATTTATTTATATTTTTGGTTCCTCGTTTTTTTTTTTTTTTTTTTTTTTTATTATTTACAAAGAAAGAAAGGAAAAAAAAAGGAAAAAGGAAAAAAATTTATTTATACAGCAGAGCTTTAAATTTTTATTTAATTTTTTAGTGTAACAAATTTATAATTTATTATTTAAATAAAAAAAATATATTTAATTGGTTGATAAATAATTATTATTTTATAATTAATTCCTTTTTTTTTTTTTTAGTAAATTAACTAAAAATTAAAAGTATAAATTTTTTTGGGATGGGATGGGGGAGGGGGTGAGTGGAAAAATGAAAAGTAATCAGAGATTCAACCATTTTAACTTATGAATAATAATAATAATAATAATGTCAAAGTGTTTTTTTTATTATAACTCTTCATTTAAATTATTTATATTAAATATTATTATTTATTATTAAATATTTTCATAATAATAATAATAATAAGTTTTAATTTTTGTTGGCTACTAGTTACGAGTGTAAAAACGAGTGAAAACAATTTTGTTTTCGTCTCAATTGAAAATCGATGATTAATTTTCTTTAAGTGTCCGCGTTCTATCACGTGATTCTAGGGCGATTTCATCATCATCGGATTTCTCATCCCTATTCACACTCTCCGAATCCTGGAAATTTGACAACATTGATCCCGTAAACCCGTGACGTAACATTTTCCTTTTTATTTCTCTCTATTAATTTGTCGTGTGCACTTGTTATTTACGTATCGGACTGCTCGTTAAAAATTTTTTCAATTCTATTGTTTTTAAGTAACTTAAATATTTTCTTACTTGTTTTCTCAAGTTTTTTTTTTTTCGGTTTCAATTTTTAAAAAAACAAATCAATCGATTATTATTAAATAAAAAAAAAAAAAAAACTGTGTATGCAGTTTAAAACAAATATAAATTTAATTGGTCATTCCCGTGTGCATTTTAATAGTTTTTTTTTTTTTTTTTTTTTTTTTTTACAAACAAACACAATTGTTTTAGTAAAAGAAAAGAAAATTTAGTGTTTTCTCTCTCTTTCTTTCTCTTTTTCATAAAAAAATTTTATTTTCATTGTTGTTGTTGTTGTTGTTTTTTATAAGCGTTTGTCTCTTTGAAAAAAAAAAAAAAATTTAAATTGACATTGTGGAACGCGGTAAACCCGTTGGAACGTGCGACGATGATAAATCCCAATATTGTGTTCGACTCTGTCCGAACATCAAGTAAAAACCAACGGATACTAACAAAATGGTTATGTTAACGTAAAAAACAACGTTCCATTCTTCTTTTGTACCGTTAATGGTTATCAAACCGTTTAAAACTGGACATATGAGTCCTGCCGTGTTCCCAATGCTGTTGGCCACCCCCGATACTATGTTTACGTAACTCGGACACAAATCTAAAAGGCTCAATAGGTACCCTCCCGTTACGCATAATTCCAAACTGCAAGAAACTATTATGAAACAACCCAAAACCCAATACCAATATTGATACGGAAGAAGAGTGATTATTAGGAAAAACACGGATATGAAAACTGCACCTATCGATATGAATATTTTTCGCATTTTATTCTTGGATAATTTCAATTTGTTACGCAAATTTTCAAAAAAAAAACACAATAACACTCTGACAACGAGAGAACCCAAGAAAGGCATTGCGGATATAATTCCGTTTTCTTGCAATGGCAAATGATAGACTTCTTCCATGACCATCGGCAGAGACAATATAATGCTGAGAAAAACATAGTTTATGCAAAAATGCATGAGAATGTAAGCGTATATGGGCAAAGACATGATTATTTCCTTCCACGGTATGTCCGTTTTAACGGGTTTCTGAATTTTATCCTTTAAAAACTCTAGTTCTTTTTCCTTTATAAACGGACACTTTTCCGGTACGTTGTATATTGTGAATACGAAAAGGAATCCGCAAGCTATGAGCCAAATGCTGAGCAAGTAAAATATCCATACCCAACCCATATAATTACAAGTCAATGTGTTTATCGGAAAATTTAAAATGCTCGACAATTGTATGCCGATAAGGGATCCTCCTACTAAGAACTGCCTTTCTTCTGGCACTACCCAATTGGCCATGAGATCGTAGAAAGCCGGAAATATGAAACTTCCAAATATTCCGGATACGAGTCTTATAATGAAAAATAAAACGGGAGTCAGTCTCGTGCCTTCGGGTAGGAAAACGTTAACGGATCCCGTGAGAAAAGTACCGGCTATGATAATTATTTTTCCGCCGTATTTAAAACTCAGGAAACCCGCGATCGATGGGCCTATTATGAATCCGTAAAAGGAAGCAGACGTGAGGAATCCTTTGGTCGATGAAGACCAATCGAATTCTCCTGAATTTATATTCTCACTGTTTCGAGGTAAGGTCATGCACACAATGACGATGGATATTCCTATTCTGACGTAAGACACGTTGAAAATGGCAATACTGCAAACGATGCTCAACAATAGTCTCGCGGAAAAAAACAATTTCGGTTTTTTCGTTACATCAGTTTCGTTTGTATTTTCTATAATTTTTTCCTTCTGTTGTTGTTGTTCTTGTGGTTGTTTCACTTCTCGTAGTTGTTCTTGTGGTGGTTGTTCTACTTCTTGTAGTTGTTGTTGTTGTTTTTTCTCTTCTTCTTCTTTTTCTTCTTCATTCATGTTCTTTTCACGTATAAATATATATTGGCATTATATTGTTATTTTGTTATACTAAAAAAAAAAAAAAAATAAATAAATAAAAAAAGGGAATGATCGGATTTTAATACAGATATATATTAAATAATTAATTTAATGAGGTTTGACATTATCCCACACTCACTCACTCACTCACTCACGCACGCACGCACGCACGCATGTTACTTAATTTTTGATTGGACGCAATCGTTAATATATATATATACATATATTTATATGCAAGAAATATAAAATAATTGTTCATTATCAAATTATTATTATTATGTTTTATTTGCAAAAAAAAAAAAAATTATAATTTAAAAAGTTTTAAATTTATTAATCAAAACCGAGAAAATAAATACGATTAAAATTCGAATTTATTTAAAAATAAAACGTCGGGTTAATATAATTTGTTTGGTCACCATGTTTGAAAATAATAATAATAATAATAATAATAATAATAATAATAATAGTAATATTTTATATTTACCTTTTTACATAATGTTTTCAAGTCATATTATTGTTTTTTGTAATTGTTATTTTAATTACTATTTCTAATATTACTCTGGTATTAGTATACTGCTATCGCTATCACAATTACTACTACTACTACTACTACTATTATTATTATTATTATTATTATTATTATTTTTAAATAAAAACGTTGCCTCCTTGTTATCAAGATCGAATGTTTTCACACAATTAAAAAATAATAATATTTATTATGAGTGTTTATTGCTTAATTATCATTATCGTTGTTATTATTGTTTTTATTTATTTTCCGCGACCGAGAGCGACCGACCCTTGAAAGAACGTGACGTACTTGTCATACAGGAATGTTAAATATGAAAACGATGACGTGAAAAATTAAAACAGCGTCCGACAGCGACGATAAAAAACTCGTATATAATATGGGTCATAATGTAATTCGACCCGGTTGCGTTTACACCTTGTGTTACCGCCCGAAAAATATATATATATATATATATATATATATGTGTAAAGGATTATATGACTGACTATAGAGCTACAAATTAAATAAGATAAAAAAATAAACTTTATTGTTATTTTCGCGAATAATAATAAGTAGCATAGTAATAAGTTTTTAAGTAAAAAAAAAAAAAAAAACCCACGCAGACAAACGTATTTGTAAAATAATTTTTTTTTTATTCGATAAATCAAACAAAAACTTTTTCATTTAAATAAAAAAAAAAAAAGTTAAAAATTATAATTAGTAATACTAAACCTATTCGTCGTCGCCGTCGTCGTCGTCTACCGACGATAAACCTTCATTTAAATCGTAATCGGGCAATTCCGAATCTGATTCGTTGACACTACTTTTACTACTACTATTACTACTACTAGTGCTATTTCTTCTGCTGTTGGTCGCATTCTAAAAAAAAAAAGACACGTAATAATTGTTGAAAAAAAATTTATAATTAAATTATGTCCTGTTGAAATTACTATAATTTTAATTATTACTTGTGATAAAATATCGTTTCCCTCGAGATCTTTATTTTTTAAAATTCCGATAGTGATGCATTCTCCGGGTACGTCATTCATGATTAACATTCCTTTGACCTCTAATGTCAACCTTTCGCATTGGGCTCTTATGTTAGGTACGTGGGCCGCCACGAGAGCGTCGTTCGTGATCTGAAAACATCAAATTTAAAATAAAAATGTTTTTTTTTTCTTTTATTCGTACGACGACGATTCGAATGAGATTTATAATAGATGATAATAGTAAAAAAAAAAAAAAAAAGTAGTGCTCGCCTTCGAATGACAGCAAATGGAATGCAAAAACCTCGTGATTGTTTGAAATGATCTTAAAAGTTTTAATACATCGACCAAATCAGTTTTTAACATTATTTCCACGGTAGGCATTCCGCTCTCGAAAAAAAGATTCAACACAGACTGAGAACACTGAAAATATACCGGAAAAAAATAAATAATTTACTTAATCTTGTCTATCTATTTCAAAATGAATCGATCAAGTTTTTTTTTTTTTTTTTTTTGTAAAGAGAAACGATGTCGATCGTTCAAATCAAACCTTTAACAAAGCAGCTAAACTTATTCGTGATGTGTGATTTTTAACAATTGTCACAAAATCAGCCAAAATGTCGATTATAGCGATCCAATTATTAAGTCGTACGCGATGATCAAAACTTTTTGTCAGTTCTTTTGTCGCACCCAATGTCAAAGCTTCGCACATGGCACGATAGAGCAAAGGAAAATTTGACCTTAAAAAAAAAAAAAAAAACAATACACACACACACGTATATATATATATATATATTTTTTTTTAAGGATACTCGAGAAAAAATGAACAATTATTACTTTTGTTTTTTTTTTCTCTCTTTAAATTTAGCACGCGAATCTAACGTTAAATTTCTTTTGCTTATGTAACTCTACCTCCCTTCCTTCCTTCCTTCCTTCCCCACATCCCCTCCAAAAAAAAAAAAAAATCCCGACGTTTAAAGTTTACAGATGAGACTTTTAGTGATATTGAGCTTTCATTGGATTTTTTTTCAAAATGATAATTACAATGAAAACAAAATTTTTTTTATTTTTAAAATTTACCTGTGCACGGTGGGAAATGTTACCATAAAACAATCGTTTTCTTTTAATGTGTTAATTTCATTCACTCCTATTTTACAAATTTTTTTAATCGCACCGAGTTGATCGTTTGCGTATTGAAAATGATTTGTAAGTAAATAAAATATCTGTTGATTATATACAGAACCTTTTTCTCGGAGTCCTTCTACGGTAAACCAAGGTCGTCGTAATAAGTCTAAGCACAAAAAAGCTAAAAAAAAAAAAAAAACTGATTACTACTTGAAAATGCTAGGGATACGTACGTTACAAATGGATTTCGCGTTTAATGATTATGAAAGAAATAACTTTTGACGCACAATTCTTGCATGCGCACACGCACACGCACACGACACCCACACATACACATACACAGGTATCACTGATATAACTTTTTTAATCGCACGTTTCGTATGAGGGTAAAAAAAAAAAAAAAAACTTACATAAGGCATCAAGAGATTCACCACCGGAAGAAAAAAAACTATAACAATTTCGAACTGCTTTCACTATGCATAAGGCTCCGTTGAAGATAAAAATGTTTTTGTTTAATCCCGTGAGATAATCGGCAGCTCCATGAGCAATAATTGTATTCGCAGATTCATCAATCTCTTTCGAATTGTTTTCAATTGAAAAATAATAATTTTTTGTTGATAAAATAACAAGGATTTCTGAAATTAAATAGTCAGACTGAAAATAATTGATAAGTCCCTCAGGAAGAGGAGCAAGGGTAATTTAAATGCATTAAAATTTATTTTCCAATGAGTTTGTTTGTCTGTCTGCCTTCTGATAGAACTACATTTTTCACTTTATTACAATATGCTCACTTTTAAGTTGCTCTTTGTACGTATCCTTTTTAAATCCTTGCCAAGATAATAATTCGGACAAGAATTTTAACGTAGTAGCCAAAGCAAGTTTCACGTATTGAATATCGTTTGAAAACATTCCCGGACCGTCGTAGACTCCTTCGTTTGCTTTCAATAATTCCTTGAATTCAAATCACGGTTAATATTGAGAAATTAAATAAAAAAAATTAAAAAAAGATTTTCGACACTTACAAAACAACATGACGACCAAACATCGATTTTTTTTTTTAACGCGGGCAAAATTTCAATGATGATCGTTAAAAATTTTTGCCGAATTGATTGACTAGGATGAAAATTGAAATGGCCGTTTTTAAAAAACACGTTTTTACTTTCTTTTACTAATATTTGTTCGGATTTTTTAACCAAATCTTCAAGCAAAAATAAACACTCGACGGTATTTATTTCTGACTAAAAACATAAAATCAAACATTTATCATTATTACATAATGCGAATGTGAATATAAAAGTAAAGTTCCTTTTTTTTTTTTTTTCTCTCAATAATATTGTCAGATTTTATTTAAAAAAAAATTTATTAATACTTTTTTCTTTGATTGAAAACAATTCCAATCACGATGATCATTCGTTTTTCCATTAACATCGTTAATTAAATCGATAGCTAATAATTTTAAACAGGTAATGTGTAAACTTCTGAAATATTGATCGACCTCCACTTTAATATCATTTATATGTTTCGATTCAATTTTTGATTGTATTTCATTTGAAACCGTTTCGATTTGAGTTTCGGGAACAGATTGAGGATTTTGCGAGTCGGAAGATGTCCCATCAATTTTTCTCTTTTTTCCTTTTTTCAATATCGTTCTGAAATAATGACAATGATACAACAAATTAATTAATGCTAATGTATTTTTCATAAATCGCTTTCTTCACTCATCTCTCTACCCCATTCCTCGATTTAATAATAATCTTTTTAGACTTTTCTCATTTAATAATAATCGCTTTTCTTTTTTTTTTAATGTCAAAATTTCAAATAAATGTTACTAAGGAAGTGAAAAAATTTGTAATACACAAAAATTATTTACTCACTCGGTTTTTTTTTTAATCACTTTATTAACTGCAGGGTAATAATTAAATTTAGGCGGTGAATAATTCGTCAATAAGATATAGTGTCGTTGAATGAGTTTGTACACGTCAATCAGTTGATTTAACCTTAAAAATGCCTGTAGGAAAAAAAAAAAAAAAAATTCACGTTTGCATTTATACAAAATCATAGATAAACAAGATTTTAAGATTTTTACCCTGTCTAAATCATCATGAGAACAAAACGCGTTAATGCATTCCACCATGTAATTAAAACAAAGAAACAAGGAATCCATTATTTTTTTCTTTTTATTGTCATCTAAATATTGAAAATTATCAAAAACCGTTGTTACCGGCATAATAATAGGAGCGTTGAAAAATTTTAATATTTTTTCTATGTCTTTTTCACAACACCAAAGTAACTTTAAACTCGATGGTATCGCCACAATAGGAACGCTTCTGTAAAAAAAAATTTTTTTTTTTTTTATAAATGAAAATAAAAATCAATTTCCTCCCAGATAGTATTACGTAAATTTTTCCCGTATGACGTACGTATGTTCCTCGGAATGCAGAGCTGCTATAAAATCTACCACTGGGAAAACAATTTCACTTTCATCCTCGGCACTTAAAGAATATTGTAAAGATGTAGGGAAATCTTCATTTCTAAAATTAATAAAAAAATTGATAAAAGTTTTTAGGGAAATTTAAAAAAAAATTTTTTTTTTTTTTTGTGCGTTAAAGTCATGCGATTTTAATATAATTTTTAGCTCATGTACGTGTAATACGAACTTTAAAAACCCTTTAAAAGCAGTTAACGAAAGACATAAATATTTAGTTTCAATTACCCAACATCTAATTTTGTACAAAACAAAAAACTTTTGGCTATTTTTTCAAATTTTTCACACCAGTATTTTGAAAATGTTGAATTTAAATCTGAATCGAGAATCATATCCGCAAATTCATCATTGAATAGTAATCTCTTGGTTTCGTTGCTTCCAACACTTCCCATTGCCATTTCTTCATTCACAAAAAACCAAAAAAATTTCATTAGAGTATAATAACTTTTAGAAAATGAAAAATTCTTTTTTTTTATAACTAACCCAATAAACTATTGATTTGTTCGTATTCTTGTTCGGTTTGATTTTTTTTTCCTACGTGTTTAGCAAATATTACCGCTGCAATGGCACCCTTGTTGTATATTTCAAAATTATTTGACGACAGTTGCTTGCAAATAAACATTTGCATTTCGTCAAGCCATCCTTTATTATTTTCGGAAGATTCGTAAGAAATAAGTTCAGACACAATATCAACTAAACGACGAATTTGGTGCGAGTTCAAATGGAGTGCTATTGAGTTTAAATAACCCAATATAGAAGTTGTGTGGGGGCTAAGAAGTTCTTTAAAATCTTGGCAAAGGCTTTCGAGAATGTTAAGGGATGCAGTAACACTCGCTGAAGATCCCGATCCGATGTGTTGTAAAATTTCATTTATCTAAAAGGAAAACGTTCAAATATTTACGCATCACTAAATTCAGTTATTATTTTTTTACTTACCACTGATTTTTTTATAAAAAACGAGAAATGAGCGAAACATTTCTTATAAATGACACACCCAAAATGGACAATAAAATCTTGATTTGATTTAAGGAAAATTGAACCGATTTCTAAAATAGGTGAAAAGTATTCCCCTAATATTGCTGTGAATTCTTCAAATGTTTTCGACAAATGAATCTCTCCTAAAATCCCACTTTTTATCTTTTTACGAGCTATAGTTAATACCCTATTTTTCATATTTTGTAAACCATTATACATGATAATAATAATAATTAAATCCAAACATCTATAATATAAAAAAAAACAAATGAATAAACAAATAATCAAATTATTATTATTTTTTTCAATAATCAGTTTACATTTAGTTTAAATCAAATCGTACCTGAATTCTGAAGGAGAATGTACAGAAGAAATTATTTTCAACCAAGTGTCCATTACGCGTTTTGACGTCGTAACCGAAAATTTTAAAACTTCGAATGTTAATTTCATGTGAGCGTTTTTAATTTCATTTTCTTCTTTTAAGGTTTGGTCATCGCTGTGGCCAAATGATAACTTTTCGCGAATACCGTTGATGGCCTGAAGAAAATTTTTATCGTAATGCTTAACACGTCGTACATGTTTTTAATTATAAACTATCATAAATCACAAGTTTACCCGGAAAAGTTCTTCATCATCGCATTTTTTTAAAATAAAACGAACCAAAGAAGGCAAACCTTCGGATGGATATTCATCAAGTTTGCTGATTAATTTGTTTCGAACTTGTGTCCTTTCATTTTTTTTCAGATTTAAATTTGAAACGGAATCTATTATCACATTGACCAATCCTCCCTCACAATTTATCATTTCTCTACAATTTATTAATAATTCCAAATTAACATTCACAATTCACATTTGCCACAAATCCAAAAAAAAAAAAATTAAATGAAAATTAATTGGGTTTGACCCCTTTCGAAGAATTTAAAATTTAATTTTATTTGTTAAAAATGAATCACATTTGTGGCATTATATTCTTATCATATAAGGTACAATTCATTCACACAGTTCGATAAACATGAATGAAAAAAAAAAAAAATTGAGGTGATGCAAAGTTAATATAAATAGTTTTTATCTCTTTATGAAAATTGCAATTAAAACAAATATTTGAAATAAAAATATTTAATGAATTAATATTTGAATTTGTGCAAGGTTAAGTTTCACTAGATAGCTTTTTCAATGGGACACAAAATGTTTTGAATAATCACATTATTCGAATAATGAATTTTATATATATAGTTTTTTAAATTGAGCCCAAATCATTACAGATATATAATTTTTTTTTTTTTTTACAAATCCACTTAATAATTTTATGTTTACTCACATTAATAGCAATGAAGTTTCATTAATTTCATCTTGAGAAATAATTTCTGGAAGCATAAAAATAATTTCTCTTTGAACCTATTAATTAAAAACATAGACTGGACTTTTTGTTTTTGTTTTTTAAATAAACACATTTATTTCAGGATGAAAATAATGTACCTTAATTGATGCTTTTTGAATTATGTCAAAAAGTTGCTTTGATAATTTATTTTCTTTTGGCGGATTAAGGAATCTCATTTGTCGAAGAATCAGAGAAATTATCTGAATGTTTTCATTATTTTCCCTTAAATTAAAAACATTTTAAATTTTAAAATATGAACACATGGAAAAAAAAAAAAAAAAAGAAAAACATCTAAAGGATCTATGTAACTCACTCCAATGTAACTTCCTTCAATTTTTCAATAAGTATACTTAATAATTGATTTTGTATACTGTTAACACCCAGTAGCATGCGAATTAATGATTCCTGAACAGGGCCCCTTGCTCTTTTACAATCCTCTGAAGTCAAAGTGGGCATTAACATTTTTTCAAAACTCTCGGTACTTTTAATTTTTTCTTTGAAGCATGTTAAAAACAGTGTAACATCTTCAGGACTTTTACTTAACTGTTCATCAATTTTGTTGGAAAAAATGGCTTGATCTTCTGCTGTGAATGCAAAATTACATAACAAAATTTCAAGGGAAAATATATATTTTAATATAATTGAAATTTTATAAAAACATTTAAGCACTTACACATTAAATATGATGAACTCCCAGTCAGTGGTAAAGCTCCACATTTTAAAAGAACTTGTTCAAAATAAGAAATGTCATTTTCAGTAACACAAATTTTTTTTGTTGGTTTACCATTACCATTATTTTTGTTGTCTGATCCATTACTAATTTTAGGGGTTGAATGAGTTTTTTGAGATATCGAGTTGAGTAAACTTGTACTTTCTCTATTCAAGTCAAAGTTAATTTCATCTTCTAATAGAACCGATGTGAGTTCTTTGGGTAATTCAGTTTCACTTTCGTTTACAACCAAGCTTGTGTTGTTAACATTTTTAATTTCCGAACTCAAAATCGTTGACTGCAAAGCTGACTGCGTGAGAAGTGATTTTTTTTTCGGAAATTTCCTTCGAAACATTTTGAATATTCAAACTATGAGCACCAAAAAAAATGTACCACAAAGTTAAGGCGGCAAAATAATTAGCCAATAATTCTTGATAAATTAAATTGCTTCACAAAATTAAACGACAAAACACTTTTTATAAATTAATTTTAATGAAAAACTAATTCGACCTTTCGCTTGTGATCCTTAAAAAACTTATGTTTTCTGATGAGAATAAAAAAAAAAAAAAAAAAAACACTTATTAGGAATACTTCGTGTAAAAATTATAGCGGTAATTTATGGCATATTCTCCTGCCACGACAAAAAAAAAATTACGTCATGACGACTTTTTAACAGATAGTTAAATTTGTTTGATCTTGTTAGTTTTTTGAAGTTTTTGAAGAATTATTCCAGGTAATTGCGTTTGTATTTTTTTAAATAAATTATTTCAGGACTCCACTCCATCACCTGGGAATAAATGATCAAATATCGATGTTGCTATTCATAAAATCCTACGAAGAATTTGAGTCTTCTCACATAGCGCGATTTCATGTAAGTACAATTTCTTCTTTATTTTTTATCCTTGAAAATTCTCATTGGTTTTTAGTGCTCACACAATGTCGGAAATCGTTTCTGCTTTGGCACGAAAACTTCGATTAGTTTACACTATTTTTTGTCGCATTTTGCTTCTCAGGATGATATCCGGTTTGTTGGTTGTCACAGTTCTGTCAATGTGAATTTTCTGATCATACAGAACTGTGCATAAACTCATTGACGTAACCCCGGGCTCGAAATGTCGTCGAGCCATTCTTTGACTAAACCTTTCATTCCACATTCGCGGCTGGTATATTTTCAAATTTTATTGTGTCTCTTTAAATATTCACGATTTGCCAATATCGCGGACATTCTGAAATTAAATGATCGATTGTTTCCGATTGTGCGTGGCGAATTCGAAATTTGAGAATCACATTCTCCTAGTTGTAAGTCCCTAAGGCTTGATCTTGAGCAACTGTGATGGATGTTAAATGAAGTAAAAAAAAGTTATAAAAGGTATTCGAAAGCCTTCACTAGCCAATAAACTATAATAAATCCTTGGATTTATGTTGGGGAAAAATTTCGTGCGTTATGAATATAAAAAAAAAAAAAATTGGGTAAATTTATTGTAATTATTATTTCTTCAGGCTACACTCATGCTTAAAAAAAAAAAAAACAAAAAAAAAAATTTTTTTTTATAGAAAACGTGAATAGACAAGCGGCCGTTCACTTAAGCTATTCTTTTAGTTGAACTACTTCTAAACGTGGTACCTTCGATCAGGTTTCTGGCATAACTGTTTTCATGGCTTCCACGCCTTTGGTGAGCGTTACCTGGGCTAATTTACTTAGTTGCAAAGCAGGTGTCATGCGGTTAAGTTCATTTTTTTAAAGTTTTGCAATTGACCGATAGGTATTCAGTGATTTTATGAATAATTGTGACCTCACATATTATTTACAAAATAACAAAGTCTTGAGTTTTTCTTTCTTTCTTTCTTCTTTTTAAATGAAAAATTAATGTAAATTAATTGAAATTTTACTTAAAATATGTTATTTTTTTTTTTATGTTATGTTTGTTTTTGTATTTACTTTACGTAGGCTTGCACGTTTAAGAATTATTAATCTGAAAAAAAAAAAAAAAACAAAATTTAATTTTAAATTGATAATATTAAGTGCTATGTATATTGTTATTAGGCTTAAACAAAGTTTTTGTTTATACTTTTTTTTTTTTTTTCCATTTATGCTTAAAATATTTTTATTAAAGGAAAGGAAAAACAAAAACATACACACACTCGCGTACTCCTTTTTTTTTTTTTTTTGTTAACGTATTACTTTGTTAGGTTTTTGTACGGGTCGCAAAGCGTATAATTAATAAAACTAAAGTAATAATAAACGTTTTAAATAATTTAAAAAACTCAATTAGTTTCATTTAAATTTTAATTATCATTAATTAATTCACTATAATATGTAACCATGAAAATTTTTTTTAATGTCATGAATGGTATATTACAAAAAAAAAAAAAAATCAAGTTTTTAAATTATTTTAAGTTCATCACAACTTTTTTTACTGTTATTTAATATTCCATCGGATTTTTATAGGTTGAAGTACATAAAGAAAAAAAAAAAAAAAAACAAAAGTAAACATGCACGACTAAACAAACATGATGACAAGTGAAAAATGAAATAAATTTGACTTCTTTTTTAACGTTTGTCTTGAGTTTTTTTTTTATTGATTTTTAAAATCTAAAATTGTTCCGTTATTTATAAGGAAAAAGAAATATTTCAATATATACGTGTTTACAATTAAATATATATATATATATTTGTAACCGGAAAATATTTATTTATTTTGTACGGGTACGCGTGTGTAAAAAAAATTGTTTTTTTTTAGGAAATTTTTTTTTTTTTTGTGTGTGTGTGTGTTTTATTTTTCCGTATAAAGAGAGATTTAGAGAGAGAGAGAGAGAGAGAAAGAGAGGAAAAAATAAAAAAACGTTAAAATATACTAAAAATGTGATATGAGAAATGAAATGCTGCAAAAGTGAACTGGATTTGAGTTCTTGTCGTACGATGCACCAACCTTCAATTGGATGGAACAATGTGAACGGAAACATCAATCAACTTGGGGGGAAGCCTAACGGTCATTTTCAAAGTAAGTACAAAAATTGACCTCAGCAACTTCACCGGGGTCACAACAACATTGTAAAACAACACGCCAGGTTTAAAAACCGGTTCGAAACACATGGTTGAAAATTTATTTTAGTTTTATTTCTCGACACCGGATTAATAAAGCGCTTCCATCGGCTTACAACATATTACTTGTACTTTTTTTTTTTTTTTTCCCGTAAAAAGTAGAATTTTAAAAAAAATAAGGAAATAAAATATATTTGTTTTCGAAAAGGGGGTTTTTTTCGGTTGTCAAGAAAAAAAAAAAAAAACAAAAAATTTTAATTAATTTTATAATATTATGAACGTTAATCAATATTTAACCGCATGTAGTCATAGTTTAATAATAATATATATATATATAAATAGTCATTAATAAAATGATTACATATATATTATTATTATTAATAATTAATTAATTAATTTTATAGATTTTCAAAATTTCGAATTTAATTTATTAAAAATATTCAAATGTTTCAAAGTTATTTATTTATATGTAAGGAGGTAAAAAAAAAAAAAAAAACTTTTTATAGATTTAAAACCGGAGCAAATCCGTTACTAAAAAAAAAAAAAAAAGTAGAAATACAAGAAATGCGGTAACATACTTAAAATGAATACGTTAAAATCGTTAAGTATCGTGAAAAAAAATAAAAATTTCCATTTGAATCCTGAATAATTCTTTAAAAAAAATAAATTTCAATTCAATTTTAATTGAAATATTAAATCAGATGTCGCACAAAATATTTTCTATTAAAAAATTTAAATAAAAATAAAATTTACAAAGTTTTAACGTGTTATATAAAACTAATTATTCATTGAGGGCGTAGAAAATTCTCACGCATTCTTATTTATTTCATTGATTATTTTTTTGTTTTGAATGAAAAAAAAAAAAAAAAAAAATTTTTTTGTTGTAAATGAGAAATCGGTGATGATGGCAAAAACCCGCAACGGTTTACCGTTATCAAATTACCTTAACGGAAACAAAAGGGCTCTTGGATAAAGAAAAAAATCACGTTCAATTTTTTACATGTTATATTTTTTTTTAAATTAATCGTGAAATTGATTGGTTTGTTATAATTCATCGATACGTATTCATTTTATATTATTAATAATCATCTGCTTCTATACCTTATTTTAATTTATCGATGCGTGTTTAAAAAAAAATTTTTTTTTTTTTTTAATTAAAAAATGGCTGCTTTGAATTAAAAAATTGATTATTTTTTGTCAACTTGGAAAAAAAAAAAAACAACGGGTTTTATAAAAAACTTTTTTCATTTTAAATATTTTTAGGCATGTTATTTATTTTTAAATTTTTTACAAAACATAATACAATCATTGTTCTAAAAATTTATTCGAAAAAGAATAAATATTTACAAACATTTATAAATATAAACATATATATATATATATATATATATATATATATATATTTTACAAGCAATGGGTAAAAAAAAAAAAAAAAAAAATGTCAGGCAATGTTATATAGGATAAATTATTTCCTATTGGTTGGATATAATTTAAACATGAATTGACATCCTTTTTTTTTTTTTTGACTCGTTTATGATTTTTCCTTCTTTTAAAAAATTTATTATTATTATTATTGTTGTTTTTTTTTTTTTGTTAAATATTATTTTCTTACTCATTAATAATGATTAAAAACGTTTCAAGATCTAAAACCATCTAGTTTGAAAAAAAAAAAAAAAAAATTTTTTTACGTTGTTATGTTTAATTACATAAAATTGATTATTAATAAATTATTAAAAAATAAGACAATAAAATAAAATAGAGGTTTTATTTAAATCCGAGATAATTCGAGTCGAGGGATTTAAATTATTATTAAAATATTTGTTGTTGTTGTTGTTGAAAACCATCGGATACAGATTGTTTTTGATTTTAAAATATTAACCCAAAATAATAATATCGAGTATATACTTGTTCAGGTACTTATGAATAAGAAAAATAAAAATAAAATGAAATATGTATTAAATTAATTTTCAGGCACTCAATAAATTAAAAATTCTCAAGTTTTCTGTAGTAAAACTTATAATGTGTTTGCGCCACCCATTATTTTTATTATTTTTATTATTTACTCATTTATATATATATATTTATCTAAACCCGGTAAAATGTTTATTTTTTTGTTTATTATAAAAATAATGTGATTCTAAAGGGTTTTCATGTTTAAATTTTTTTTTACGCTTACTTAAAACTAACGTATTTGAAAATTTATTTATTTATTTATTTTTTTTATTTCAGATGGATTAACGTCGAGACCTTGGTCAAATGGTATACTGCCTAGAGCAGATGATAAACAATCAACGCTTTCCAGGTAAAACATTTTTCTTTTTTATTATTATTATTATCATCGCACAATATTTGTGTGTTTGTCTTTCTTTTTAAGTTCCCTGTCGTAAAATTTACGTAATCCAACTTATATAATAAATCAATCACGATCATTACATCGAATTTTAAATTGAGCAATATAGTAATTCCTCGGTACTTATTTATTTTATTTTTTGTTTAAAACTATAAGTAATTATTTTTAAAGTAAATGAGTAAATATTAATTTTTAATTTACAATAATTTAAATAAATTAAAAAATTTCACCGGTTTTGAATCTTTTAAAATAAAAAAATATCATTTCGGGGGTTTTTTTTTTTTTGCCCAGGTATTGGACTGTTGAGAGGCCAAGAAATGGAAAAATCAATAGTTATCATGCCGTGAAAAGAAGTTGCAGGGAAAGAGGTATTCTTTTTGAAGATGCCTCGTTTCCCCCCAATAACAGGTCTTTAAGTCTCCATAAAAAATTACCCTTACAACCAATAATTTGGGCGAGACCTCACGTGAGTTCCTTTCATTTTTGTTCATTTTCAAATAAAATCACATTCACGATACTTTCACTTTATATATATGTATATAAAAACTTTTAAAAAAAAAAAAAAACACCCCTGGATATATGAAAAATTTATAATATTTTAGGAATTGTGCCAGAGACCGAAATTCACGGTCGAAAATTGTTCCGATAATTTAGAAAATTCAAGGTTTGACATAGAGGTTGGAGAATTAGGAGATGTTTGGTTATTAGCTGCCATCTCTTCTCTTACGCTTACCCCTAGATTTCTTGAAAGAGTGGTGCCCCCGGATCAATCATTCGATTCAAATAATTATTGCGGAGTTTTTCGGTGGGTTACATTAATTATAAACAATTTTTTTTTTTTTTTTTTTTTCAATAGTGCTGGTTGTTGATAAAAAAAAAAAAAAAAAAAAAAAAAAAACTAATTTAAATTTGTTTAACACGTTATTGCTAATATAGGTTGGTTCAAATGAGAATTTTTATTAATTTTCCAGATGGCTAAACATTGGAAATTACATCGAATTCATTCATTTATTTTAGTAATCATTTAACGTCGCCATTTTTTATTTTTTATTTTGAAAGGAAAAAAAATAAAAACTGATAAATCAATTTAAATTGATGATGATTATCTATTTACTATGTTTTTAAATTAGGTTTAGATTTTGGCATTTCGGAGAATGGAAAGACGTGCTCATAGATGATCGTTTACCGACTTTTAGAGGCAGGCTAATTTATATACATTCTTCGAATCCCACCGTTTTTTGGGCTGCACTCTTAGAGAAAGCATATGCAAAATTATACGGATGCTACGAAAATTTACATTTGGGTTTCACGACTCGAGCTTTTCAAGATTTAACAGGAGGAATCGTTCAAAGCTTCGGATTGAATAATCAAGAAAAATATTTGACGTTTCAAGTACTCAATAGCGCCGTTCCTAGGTCGACTTTAATAATTGCCAGTATAAATCCAGTAAGTAATGAGAAAAAAAAAAAAAAACAAAAAAACAAAAATTCGTGTCTAATAAAAATATATTTAATACGTGTACATTTTAATTTATTTTTAGTATAATACGAAATAAGAAAATTTAATTAGAAAAAAAAAAAAAAAAAAACGTCGCTCAATTCTAAATTTAACATCATTTTTTTAGTTTAAATAATAAAAAAAAAATAGTTCATGCATCATGCATACTCTTACAAAAAAAAAAAAAAAGTTGCATTTTCTGTGTTCTTCCATGTAAAATATAAATTACATAAAAAATTAATGTCATTTAAATGACTTCAATGCCGGTTAATAAAAAACAATATAATGTTTTTAGATTCAAAACAAGGTCGTATGTATGGTTTTTAAAAATAATAATTAAAAACATACACTTGTAAAACGTAGAAAAAAAAAAAAAAACTGTCATTTTTTAAATAAACAATTTACAATTTCAAGTATTTATTTAAAATTTAGGATAAAATTATTTGATCGTAAAAAAAAAAGTAAAAATTAATTATTTCGATTAAAATACATTTGAGTTAGGTGTTAATTAAATCAATTTACTTAAACTTAATGAATTAGATTTTTAAAAAAAATTTTTTTTTTTGACGTTCATTTTTTTTATTAGTGCAATTAAATCGTCGAAAATGTCATTTTGACTCGGTAGAACTAAACATACCCTTTCGATTTTTTTTTTTTAAAAAGTAAATAAATCTATGGTTGAATGTTTGTTTACAGGAAAAAGAAACAAAAAGGCAATTGAGGCTTCGAAATGGGTTACTAACTCAAAGTGCTTACAGCGTAACCGGATTAGCCCGCGTTCGAAATCATTTGGGAGAAATTCCATTAGTGAGACTGAGAAATCCGTGGGGCAAAGGTGATTGGACGGGTCCGTGGAGTGAAAGAAGCTGGGAATGGGAAGGTCTTAACGATCGAGATAAAGAAATCCTGAGCACAAGAGCTCAAAATGAAGGAGAATTTTGGATGTCTTTTGAAGACTTTGTTAAAAATTTCACTCACTTGGATTTGGTTCACGTGAGTCCAGATGACTGGATGAACGAACCAGCCTTACAAGCAAAACAACCTTGGAGGGCTGTCCTGGCCAGAAGAAGGTGGAGAAGTGGTTATAATGCCGGAGGATCACCTATTTACATTGGTGACTACATTTTTTTATACATTTCGTGCCTTACGTTTGAGCTATTTAAATTATTATTATTATTATTATTATTATTCTCTCTTACGTCCAACAACGCTTGGTGTCGGGATTCGCGTATTCATTCATTTTTGAAAACTCCAGTGTAGTCTTTGAGTGAGCGGTACATGCGAGCTTTTCTTTAAATTTTTTTTCAGATCAAAATTGCTGCACATTCATATAATTTCTTAATCTTTTTTTTTTACGGGATTTTGTTCTTTTGTTTTTTTTTTTTTTTCCGTCGGTCGCAAAAAAATTTAGGTTTTTATCATAGAAAAAAAAAAAAAAAGTTTTCTCACATAGCGCAATTTGTTGTACGATTTTTTTTTTTTTTTTAAATCCTTGAAAATTCTCTATTGAGGCATTGGCTCTTAGCGTCGTAAATCGTTTCCGTTTTTTTCTTTTTTCCACATCCTGGCAATTGGATTAAATTTCGCTCTTTTTCGACTGTGGTGTCTTTTTCCGCCCGGTACTTTTATTAATTTACACATTATTGTCATTTTGAATTGGGCATTTATCAATTCCATTTTCTTTGTCTTTCAACAAACGATTTGCTTTGCTCTTTTACAGATTCTTCTTCTATCTTCACTGTTTGGGTTAAAATGGAGTGTGCCGTTGATTGAATTTTTTATTTTTCCCATTAGTCAATATTATAATTACAATTAAAATTGATCGATTTAAAATTCTAGTTTTAGTTTATTTTCTATGGTGTATTCGAAGCCGGAAATAAAATTTTTACTGATAACATGCATGTGACTTAAAGAAAGAGTGAAAATAATTGAGAGACAAAAAAATTTTACACGTAAAAATATTTGTGAATTAAATGCGTGTAAATCATCATCATATATATGTATATATATATATATATATATATATATATATATATATATATATATATATATATATACACTCTACGATTTATAAGTTTTCATTATGATTGATGTTGCTTCTTCGTTCATAAAGTTTTCTTTTTTTTTTTTTTTTTTCCGTTGTGATTACCAGAAACAACAGCCGTGAATCCGCAATTTCGAATTCAAATTCCTCGAAGCTCGGGTAATAAATGTCACGTTGTCGTTTCTGTAACTCAGCACTACGAGACCTATTCGATAGATAATAAAAAAAGAAAGCCTCCTTTTGCTATTGGTTTCGCAGTTTACGAAGTTCCACCGACTACAGTCAGATTGACTCAAAATTTCGTGACGGAACACGTGGGTTTCATCATTCGGCTTTTTTTTTTTTTTTTTTTTTTTTTTTAAATTACAATGAACAATCATCAATTGATTTTTTTTATTACAGAAACCTCTTGATGTCACTAATCATTCGATCGCGAGAGAAGTTGTGACTTTTTTTACATTGCCTCCTGGAGATTACATTGTGGTGCCGCAAACAAATGTTCCAAATTGCGACAGCAAATTTTTACTGCGAATATTTACCGACGAACAAAGTAATATTTGGTAAGGTTATTTAATCTTAAATTGAAAATATTTCCCCTTTTTGCGACCTCGTATCAAAGATTTAAAAAGGTCGTATATTTTGAAGGCATACTGTTGCAGGTACAACACGTTTACGAGAGCAACGTACTCTAAAGGTTCCTCTTTGAAAGTAAATCGATTTTTGCGTGAGGATGAATGAGGGGAGGGGAGGGGGAAATGTCGCCGTTCTTTATATTGATTATAAATAAATTACTATTATTATTGTTATTTTCTTTTTTACGCTTAGAAACATGTAAAGATATTTCTTTTTTCCTCATTAAATGATTTGTTCAAACTTATTAAAAACAAAAAAAAAAAAAAAAAAAAGGAAAAAACCAAAAAATGCCTCAATAATTTATTTCAAAAAACTTTCTTTTTTTTTTTTTTGTTATAGGGAAGTGAATGAAGACAATATGGTTTTTCGTAATATATCAACCGAATACTTTGAAGAAGCTGTGATACTGCCTGATGGGAAACCCCTTATTTCTAAATTATTGCTCAAATATCCTGTGGAAGTGGACGCTGTTCAACTTCAAAAAATACTCAAGTCTCATTGGAAAGGTAAATTAGTAATTTACTATATATAACGCAGAGCTACAATAATTTATTTTTTAGTTTTCTATCACGCGTATTATTTAATTTCAACCACACATTGATATACATATGCTTGTGTACATTAAAATCTTTTACAAATCCTTAAATATTTTATTTGTTTTTTTTTTCAGCTTATCTCACAGAGAAACCTAGTCTAGAGCTATGCAAAAGTCTGATAATGTTAAGAGATTACAATATAAGTGGAAAAATCAATGTTTCCGATATTCCAATTTTAATACACATACTTCAATTTTGGAGAATGGCATTTCAAAAATTAGACAAATCTCATGGGAATAAAACAAGCAGTTACAATTTAAGAACATTGCTATGGGAAGCAGGAACAACTGTTTCCAATAAAGTTTTAGAATGCTTGGTACTAAGATTTTCAAAAAATATGGTTTTAACATCTGAATGCTTTGTAATGGCCATGGTTAGGCTTTACCTGGCACACGAAAGATATCACAGTTTAGATACAAAAATGAAAAGTAATCCTATTACTTTAGAAGAAATGATCCTTATGACTATATACTCATAAATTAAATTAAAAAATTTTATTCTGATCAGTTTGATGTTACAAAATGGAGAGAGAGAAAAAAAAACACATTCCGATGATTAAATTACTTGCTTTATCATGAATTGATTACTAGTAATTGAAAAACAGAAAAAGGTTTTAAAAAAGTATCACATGTGTTTTTAATGTAAGATGTTTCTATTAAAAAAAAAAAAAAAAAAGATAAATATGATTCTGGCAAAAGATTAAAATTAGATTTGAAAACAATGCAAAGAAAATATTAAGTTGCCTAGCAAGAATTCACAAGTACCTGTATTATTTGTTAATGTTGTCTTCAAAACTGTATAGAAATATTTTAATACCAAAGATTTGAATATTACAGTTTTTTTTTTCTTATTAAAATAAATTTTTTATTTATCCTGTAGGCCTTAAAATATTTTAATTAATTTATCGTCATGTATATTCGATATATTTTACATTTAAATTATTTAATAAAATGTGAGTAGTGCATTATTATTTAAACGAATAACAACAACTAATTTGCTACTTGATAAAATTAACAAAAAAAATTATTTAATGCTTTCATTTAATTTATTCATATTTTAATTTAATTAAAATTTTACAAAATATAAAACTTACACAATCCTTTTATGAATCTCTTTAAAGACTTTTTAAAAATAAAATGCTTTGAAAGTTTTTTGTTTCACAATTATTCTAACGTACGGGGGCTTTCTCGAAAAAATAATTTTCAATTAACAATTTTTATTACGATTTGGAAAAATTACTTGTTACTCGAATTGGATTAATCAATAATAATTACCAAAGGTATTTTTCAATATTTAAAATAAAACGTGAAAAACGAAATATTTATTTATGTTTAATTTTTATTAATTATTGAATAAATCACAAATTACTTTTCGAATTTCACATTACTATCGATATGATGTTTTAATCAAAACAATTGTGTTTGAAAACAAAACAATTGTGATTCAAAACTTCTTGTAAGAAACAAAAATTTCCCTTTGCATGCATGCGAAGGGAAATTTTTGTTGGCTGCACTGCAAATTCAGTAAGTACATTGCAGTGTGTGAGTTATAAGTAAACTGTACTTCAAAAGTCTTTTCAATTTATCGTTTAATTAATTTTTTTTTTTTTTTGTCATTTATCACTCTGTAAAAATGCCGGAGTTTGAAAATTTTGAAGATGATCATAATGATCGCTCATCCAGATTAACAAATGATGACTTCAGACGTCTTTTAATGACTCCGAGATCTAGTGTTCCCGCTTCAACTCCTTTAAATATTGTAAGAAATTGAAAAGTTTTTTTTTTATTTATTATAGTTATAATATATTAAGTAATAATTATATTATATTATATATTATTTTATATTATTATTTATATCTTATATTAACTGTTTTTATAACTATGTACTATTTTTAGTCTGCGAATTCGAGCAGAGATAGAGATGGACCTAAAAACACAATTAACATGGCCTCTTCTACATCGGAATCTGAAGATAAGGCTGAAAGAAGAAGGAAGAAGAAAAGCTTTTATGCAAAGTTGAAAAAGCAAGAAGAAGATAAAATGGCTGAACTTGCTGAAAAATACAGAGATAGGGCGAAGGAAAGACGTGAAGGAGCTAACCCTGATTATCAAGTTGAAGACCCTCTCACTGGAGCCAGTGGATACCGAGCTGTGGCTCCTGATATCAAATCAGGTAAAATAAATTTTTTTTTTTTTTTTTTAATTTGGGTAACAGCATTACTTGCTTTTGTGCTATTCTTCTAATGCTTCCACTCGTAATTAGAAATGAGTGTATGAATTAAAATTATTGAACATTGTAAATTCGTTTTCTTTATTATAGTGATAATTTATAACTTTTGTCTTTTAAAAGGTTCTTAATTTGTTTTTTAGTTATTTGAAAATATTTCAATTTTTATTATATATAAAATATATAATAATATGTAAGTAATATATTAATATAAAATATTATATATAATTATAATATATTATAATAATATATAGTATATTATAAATATATTATATCATATTAATATAATATATAGTATATTATAAATATATTATATTATATTAATATAATATAATATAAACTATAAAATTAATTATGTGGATTTAAATATGTATTCCTAATTTAGATATATATATATATGTTTATGTAATATTACGTTTTACTAAAAAATTATAGTTCTGAGAAAGGGTTTATTTGCAGGATTTTGAACTTACTTTGAGTATTTTAAAGATTATTGTTTAGACCTTTAATTTTTTTTAATTTCATCAAGGTTTAAATTATCTCTTGTTTGTTTTTAACAGGTTTAGATGCTGCTGAAAGGAGAAGACAAATGATTCAAGAGTCAAAATTTTTGGGAGGAGACATGGAACACACTCATTTAGTAAAAGGATTGGATTATGCGTTGCTTCAAAAGGTCAAATGAATTTTTCATGTGATTAATCAAAACTTATTATTAGTTTATTAGTATTAGTATCTTTTATTATTGAAAATCCTCACTGTTCACATTCATTTAAATTTTTTCTTATTTTTTTCGTTTCCCATGTTGCATGTTTTTTTTTTTTTTTTATTTTTTTTTTTTTAATTTTTATTTTATCATGAAACACCCTTAAACTATAGTTCTATATTTGCTGTGATTTACAAATAAAAAGTCAATATGTTCAAGAGGGCACCTTTAATACCTATTTGATATTTGTGAATCATTGAATATCACAATAAAAAAAATTTCTTTTAATTAAAATAAAATTTTCTTTTAAATTTAGGTACGTAGCGAAATTCAACTACGTGAAACCGAAGGAGAAGAAGAAGCAGAAAAAATGATAAACAATGCGGCCTTAAAAAAAGAAAAAAAGAAAACCAAAGATGATACTGAAGATTTGCAATTTAAAACCGTTTTAGCAAAAAACGTACACAGATTTGCGATTAGGTATTAATGATTTAAAAAAAAAAAAAATTATTTTAATTGTGTCACGTTTGAAAATTTTCAACCTAAAATTGTTTAATTATTTACAGATCTAAAACAATCGAGAAAAATGAATTGTTCGCGCCTGGCAGAATGGCATATTGCATCGATCTTGAAGATGAATTGGCCGATAGTGATATTCCAACAACTTTAATTCGAAGTAAAGCGGATGTTCCACAACTGGAACAATCAGCCATACTCACCACGAATGATATCGTTATAAATAAGTTAGCTCAAATTTTATCTTATTTGAGACAAGGATCCAGACATGGAAAGAAAGGAAAAAGAAAGGTACGTTTATTATTTTTATATTTTTTAGTTTTTTATAATATATTAATATATATATTTCAATTTTCTATTTAACTGCGAAGCTTGTTATTAAGCAAAACGAATATTTGAAATGATGGGACGATCGTTTTTATATGTATATATCTTATTATTTATTTTTTTGGTCTTTAAAAAAAAAAAGTATTTTGAAGAAGCGTGAAAATGGATTTTTTAAGTTTAAAAAAATTGATAATTTTTTTTTTTCTTTAGGATAAAGGGAAAGAAAGAGGAAAAGTTACTGATGAAAGTATTTACGGTGACATCGGTGATTATGTTCCCAGCATGGTTAAAGACAAGACAAAATCTTTAGAGAAAAAAAGAGGAAATTATTTTGAAAAGCCGGAAGATGATAATAAAAAAGCTTGGGATTATGTTCGTCCAAAATCGGATGTAAGTATTTTTTAGTTTTAATTAAATAATAATAATAATATTAATCATTTACTATTTTCACTCGTAATTAATAAAAATTTCATTTAAAATTCAATATAAAGTCGTGATTTGTATTGCGATTATACATTTTAGTCATTTAAAAAAATTTTTCACGGTTTTGGAGTAAAAGTCTTCAAATTGTTTTTTTATTGAATGAAATATGAAAAATTTGTAATCATGTTTTGAAACATAAATTATTGAACATATTTTTATTTGTTTTTTATTTAAACAATTTAAAAATTAAGAAATTTTTTTTCTTTTTTTTAATAACTGGTCAATGCAAATCAATCATTGACAGATAAAAGATTATAAAGTTCATAAATGAAAAAACGGTAAATGACATTGAATTATAATTTTTCAGAATTCCGTTTCGAACAAGAAGGAAAAATCGCGGGATGGAGGATCAGAAGGTATACATAAAACGGCCGCTCAATTATTAACAAAATTAGCTGCAGAACCTGAAGGCTATGCTGAATGTTATCCCGGATTAGATGAAATGCAAGATGCCATTGAAGATTCCGACGACGAAGTAACTTTTTTTTTTTTTTTTATTCATTTAATCCAGGTCTTATTTAATAATAATTTATATTTATTTATTTTATTTTATTTGATATCTTTTTTAAAACTACACAAAAAATTTTTTTATTATTATTTAATTAATGAATCTGTGCGTTGGGATATAAATGAAAAAAAAAAAAAAAAAAAAATGTGTTACATTTTTGAGCGATTTTTTTTTTTAATTTAATTTTATTAATATCAAGTTTGTAGTAAATTTATACATTTTAAATTTTTTCAGGTTGATTACACAAAAATGGACTTGGGAAAAAAAAAGGGTCCCATCGGTAGATGGGATTTCGATACCCAGGAAGAATATAGCCAATATATGAATAATAAAGAAGCATTGCCCAAAGCTGCTTTTCAATATGGTGTTAAAATGGCAGACGGAAGAAGAACAAGAACTAAAACTAAAGAAAAAAATGAAAAGCAGCAATTAGATCGAGAATGGAATAAGATTCAAAACATAATTCAAAAACGAAAAGTTCCGGCTAACAAAGATGAAGTTTCAGAATTTAAAATTCCTCGGTATTAATTTATACCTTGGAAAAATTTTAAAGTTTACGTGAGTGACATTTTTTTATTTTCTTAACATAAATTCTTTTTAATAAAAAGGAAAAAAAGTGTTGTAATTAATTCTCTTTGATTTAACAATAATTTTACAATTACAATATTGCAGCTGAGAAAATAATGTCGTATAAATAAATTCAAATAAAAAAAAGAAAAAAACTATGAGAGAAAGTGAAAAATCGTTTAGATGGTTTTTTTTTAAAGAGTTTTATAGAACGAGAAATGCGTTGCAATGTTTAAAGAAAATCCATAAAATTTAGACAATCAGTCATCAGATTCTTTGAATTAGTACGGAAAATGAAATCTTTAAATATTCAAAGTTTTTTTTTTTGTTAGCGAGTTCAAAATAATTCAAACAAGAAAATCTTTTGAATACAGTACACACAAAATGAACAGTTTTTCAAATTTTTTTTTTTTATCGATCATTTAAAAAACTTTATTTATTGTGTTTACGTTCAGTTTCGAAATATTTCTTCGTGTTTCTTTCTTGTTAAATTTGAAATACTATTGCCAAAGTGTTTGCTCTTTTTTAAAAACTGAAATTAAAAAATTAATTTCACTTTTAAAATTCAAAAAAAAAAAAAAGGAAAAAATCAATTACGTTTTAGTGAAACCAACGTGATGCTATCTGTAATTGTGTGAATTAAAAGATACAATGGAAAAAATTGATGATGATGATGATGATGTGGTGCGTATCTCGGGTAAACAAAAAACCGTGATAATTATTATTAAATGTAAAAATTTCGGAATCGAAATCGTCAGAATTTAAAAAAAGTGAAGAATAAAAAACTATTCCAAGTGATGAATAAATTTTTTATAATTCCCGGTAAACTCAAATTATCATCAATTGAAAATGACAGGAATCGTCATTCATATAGAAATTTGGACCATCTTATTCAGCTCCAGAAAAATGTCGACATCTACTCTTCTCGGGTCAGGCTACGTTTTCAAAGATGGAGAAAATGGGATATTTTTGTAAGTAAATTTTTTCTTTTTATACTAGTATTTGGTAAATCTGAATTAAGATTCAATTTCATGAATAATTTAAATTATTAATTATTATGCGTTTTCGGCAAAGGTAAACATTTTTATGGTAAAATTTTTTATGCAATCATTGCGAACGTTTCTTTTCTTTTTTTTGAATAAATGTTTAGTACACTGGATGAGATTTGTTTATGTGTTAAAATCATTTTTATTTGGGTTATTTTAATTGATATGAAACCCTTTATCGCGGGTTTTATATATATATTAAAATGGTATTATTTTGATGAATAACAATCGGAATAAATGGCGTAGTAAAAAATTAATTTTTGTTTATAATTTTACTAGATTACAATCGGGTCAAATTTGAATGAAAATAAAAACTATGGCAAACATTTTCTCATGGTTTCAAGAGTTCATATTTTTTTGCCTAGTGCGAAGTTTTTTAATAATCCGAGTCCTCCATTCTTAATGACTCATTTTAATTAATTCATTTAATATTTTTCATGCATGTCCGTGTTGTTGTGTCACGTGTGTAAATTTTAATTATTTTATATATATATATATATATATATATATATATATATATATATATATATATATATATATATATATATATATATATATATATATATATATATAAAATCGATACCAATTAAATTTGATTTACATTAGTAATAATAATAATGATTTTAGTATTAAATAAGGATAAATTATATACTTTGAATAATTGAATAAAGGAAATTTATTGTTAGATAGAATGAAATAAAAAGCCGAAAGTAGCTAAAATATTTAACAAGGTGTTGTTTACCTCAACCTCGATGCCATTACGATTCGTTAAGTCAACTGCAGCCAAACCTTGACCGATTAATATATTTTGATTCAGTTTGTAGGTTTTTTTTTTTTTTTTTTTTATTATTTACCTCTTATAATATATCAATATATAAACTTTATTATATATATATATATATGGATATAAAATTATAACAATGTTAAAATTTTAACTAATGTTTTCAACTTTTATAAATACGCAAAGTTTTTTTTATTTTAGTAGTGCGTATTGTTAATCTTTATTTTTATAAAAAAAAATGAGAGAAAGAAAGGGGGAAAAAAAAACTGTTTTTGACACTATTTATTAATTTTACTTGAATTTACTATATATATATATAAATGTTTTTTTTTTATTTTATTTATTTAATAGACATTGAGCGTCGTAATTTGAATAAAAGTTTGATATGTTATTTAATACGTAAAACAATATAACGTTTATTCATCGAAAGACTTTAAATTTTGTCATAATTGGACCGTATAATAAAATTATATTTTTTCGGCGTTTTTATAGTAAAGACCAGTTCAACTGATAACATTTGGGTCTTTTTCTTTTTTTCTTTTTTTTTTTTCAGCTCGAATAATTTGTCGTCGTACAAGTTATTTCTTTAAATCATTTTTGTTTATTGTTTTTAGTCGGATATAAGAGTAATAAATAATTTTTTAAATTTCATATTAAATATTTGATTTTAAATAAGGATTTAGTTTTGAAAAATTGGAGCGCGGATGATCGCCTTGAAAAAAAAAAAAAAAAAACATTTAAATTTGCCATTGCTCGGAGTTTGTTAATAAAATTGTTTTTATTTTTGGCTTGAATCCATCAAATTTTTTAAAAATCGTCATCAGTGAAATAAACAAATTTCCTTTTTTTTTTTTTTTTTTTTTTTTTTTTAAATAGTTGCGCGTAGCCGCATGCCCCTTATGTGACCCTGTCTCTTACTCATTCATTCCTATCAACAAGAATAATAATTTAAAATCAGTCGCGGTTTCAATTTCCAAATTTTTAAATGTTTTTAAAATTAAATTATTATAATATTCGAGTCGATGATGAAATAAATAAACACTTGTTTAATATATATAAATAGTATTAATTTAAATTATTCATATAATAAGGAAAAAACTTTTTTTTTTTTTAAATATACATATATTATTTGAAAGGGTAATTTTTTTTTTCTTCAATGTTTAAAACGGTCCTGATATTGAAAAAAAAAAAAAACGTTTCTGAAACCACGTTGGAGGGCCTGCAACTGCAAATAGTGCCGGGGAAAAACGGTCTCAGTCATCATTACTGTCAGTCAGTCAGTCAGTCAGTCAGTGTTGGTTCGTAGGTCGTTGCGTGAGGTCATCGTTTAGTGTTTTTTCCATTCTATCGTCATTCAATTTTTTTAATTTTTAATTAATTTTTTTTTTTTCTTTCCTGTTTTGCTAGTTTTATTTTTTATTTTTTGGTTGTCATACGGATATATCATAAGCGTAAGTTTTTTGAATAAATTTATTTGTTCTATTTATAACTATAATTATTTAATTCAATAAAGACAAAGAGGAGGGGAAAGAGGGAGTGAGAGTGTGTGGAAATCCATTATATTCGGCGCTGAAAAATATTAATGAAAATTTTTTTTTTTTAAATTAACGAAAACGAAACTACAAATGTTAAACATATTTTGTATTCAATGCCAAATTTGATGTCTGCAAAATAATCACCTTTTTTTTCTCATTTTCTTTTATTATTGAAACACGTGCCTTAAAATACAATAATGGCGGAGCGGTTATTTAATAATAATTTCGCTTCAGGTGCGTTATTGATTTGCATAATAAAAAAAAAAATAATAATAGTAGTAATAAAATTGAGTTAAACATTTATTGATTGGCAAATATCATTTTCCAGGTTTCAGTTTAAACAATTTTTTTTTTTTCTTTTAAAGGTTCAATTTGATTTATTTCCCTGTCAAGTGACTATAAAGATTACGTTTTAACTGTTTTTTTGTTTTTCTTTTTATAAATTGGTTTCTTTGATAAACGGTCATTTCTGGGTTAAACTATCAACTCCTTCCTACGAATTAAATTCTTGACAAAAAAAAAAAATATCAGCAATGGTTGTTTTATTATTCGTAAACAAAAAAGTTTTTATGTTTTAATAAATTGTTTTGGATTCATTGGCGAACACAAAAAAAAAACAAAGAAACTTTTATATTAAATACACACCCACTCACACACACGCGCGCACAGATATACATAAGAAATTAATAAGGGAAATGAATGATATTTTTTTATCGTAATAATATAAAATAAGTCTTTATTGTCTATCTCGGAATTCATAAAAATTCATTTGCTCAACCTTACATGACATTGAAAAAAAAAAAAAAATATTTTTTTTTTCTTAAAAATATTATCATTATTATTACTAATATTATTATTTTTTTTTTCAGATTTTGATTGTAAATATGCCTGATCAACGAAAGAAAAATTTCACTTCCATTTTTTCAGGTTCGTAATAACTTGAACATTAGCACTAACAATAAAAGGTTGACCTTTTACGAATGATGTCAATGTTTTTTTTTTTTTTTTATTCTTTTTCTAACGCGTGCACGAGTAAATATAAAAAAAAAACTATGGTGGACATTTTTTTTCTGTTTATTTTTCTTTTAGCTATTGATATTATTGGCATATCTTTTGACTTATTAACAAGTTTAAATTAATCACAGAATTTTGAACGCTGTTAATTTGATATTTTATTTCAAATAAAACTTTGTCGCGATCGTTCCTAAAAAAAAAAAAAAAAGAAAAAGAAAAAAAAATTTACTCAAACAAACGTATATAATATTTTTTTTCTAATTTATTCAAGGTTGCATCAATTAAAAATGCCATAATTTACAACTGTTTAATTTTTAATTTTTTGTTCCAATTTCCAATAGTATAAATGGATGGTATATTTAAAATGTTCTTTAAAAATTTTTTTTGCAAGTTAAAGTTATTCTTTTATATTATATACGTATATATATATACTTGAGATGAAACTCTTGGGATTTGTTTTGTTAAAAACAATTTATTTATTTATTTTTAACGTCGTTGATAAAAAAAGAAAACTATTAACAATTATCTAAAGTTCCAAGTTAAAATTGTTCGTTTTGAATTTTTAGCCATTTTTATGTTCATCATAATTATTTTCACTTTTCCACGCGATTCAGGATATCATTTCCCCAAATTTTTTTGTGCTTTTCTTTTTTTTTTTTTTTAAATTTGTATTTAATACGAAGTGAAGTAAATTATATTTTTTTATCGACAACGTTTATGATAATCTCTCTATTATTATCGATGAATTTATTCGTTATATATATTTACATATGTACGCATATATTTAAAAAATTTTTACTGCTATATATATGTAGATTTTTTCTTTTAACAACATTTGACGTTATCAATTTTGACGAACGTTTTTTTTAACGATTTTTAAATAAATGATTATTAACACGTTTACGGATAAATAATTTACCGCATGCTTAAATTAAAATTTAATTTTAAAAAAAAAAAAAATGAATTTAAATTTGACGTTAAATCATTATTCTTTCTT